GGTGAATGATTTTTTTAAAGTATTGTTGGATTTGGTTGGTAGTATTTTTGTGAAGGATTTTTGCATCTGTGTTCATTGGAGATTTTGGCCTTTAGTTCTCTTTTTTTTTTTTTGTGGTGTCTTTGTGAGGTTTTGGTATCAGGTTAATGAATGAATTTGGAAGTTTTCCTTCCTTTTCTGTTTTTTTGGAATAATTTGAGAAGAATGGGTATTAATTCTTTAAACGTTTGGTAGAATTTGCCTCTGAAGCTATCTGGTCCTGGACTTTTGTTTGTTGGGAGTTTTTAAATTATTGATTGAATGTCTTTGCTAGTAATTGGTTTGTTCAGATCTTCTTGATTAATCTTTATACATCTGATTCTTATCCTAGGTCTTATATAATAAAAGGTTCTTAAAAAACTGTGGTAGAATACTTACTCTGAGATCTGTTTAAAAAATGTAGAATACAGTATTGTTAACTGTAGGCATGAGACATTGTTATAAAGAACTTAATATAAGAAGAAACTTTTACAAAATGTCTAGTTTGCCTGAATCTGCACTGACTTAGTCATGGAGCATTTAAGCAAAATCTAGAGTAGATTAAATATAGACAAGTTAAAAGTGGCTGGGGTTTTTTTCCTTGGAGCAGAAAAGGTTCAGGGATAAAGTCAGGCCATGGATGGAGGTGAGAGCCCAGCATAGGCTGGAGGTTGGAGTGCAGCAGTGAGTCAGGGCACATAAGCTGGTGGGCACAGAAAACAATGCAGAGACAGCATGCTTCTTGAAACAGAGTGAATCTAGAATCAGTGTCTTAAACTGACTATGAGAGTCTTGAGGGCGGGGCTTGACTGTACAAAGACGGTAGCTATGCAGGTGGCCAGTCAACAGAGTCCAGGGGCCTCTTTTCCAGTCTGTGGCAAATTCTCCCCAGTCCTTGGCAGACTTTGGCATAAGACACAGCTTGACCCATTCTCGGTTCATGAAGACTTTTCATTAGGCAGATGCTAAGTTGTTTGAGTCTATAGGGGAATCTAACAGTTTAAGAGGATCCAGTACAGTTTGGACCCTTACCTTTATCCATGGGAAGAACTTCTCACTGGACAAGCTCTTCTTTATTGGGCATGTGCTATTAAAACTCCTGATGTTCCATCATGTGGTCATGGGCTTTGAGCAGTCTGCAGTGTGGTAGAAAATACAGGTAAGTACAAAAACACCTGTAAGGTAATGTGTAATAGCAGTGTTAATGCTACTTCCTCATGCATGATATAGATGAAAGGATGCTAGAATTGAAATTATAGAGTATTTAAATGAAATAGACCATTTAAAAAATCCTAAGTGCTTTTTTTTTAATTTGTTTATTTTTGAGAGAGAGAAAGAGAGAGACAGAGACAGAGCATGAGCAGGGGAGGGGCAGAAAGAGGGAGACACAGAATCCATAAAAGGCTCCAGCCTCTGAGCTGTCCACGCAGAGCCTGACACAGGGCTTGAACCCACGAACCATGAGATCAT